GAATATCACTTTCGAACACTTTTAGCTAATTTTACTTTATCGCTCTTTGATTATCAATTATCATTAAAATGGTCACTATTATTCTGTGCCCATCACAGTTGTGTAATATTATCTGAGTGATTATCTTTTGTCACGATTATATTAATAATAACAATAATAATGACGATAATAATGGCAATAATGAGAGGATAATAAAGGGACAACAACAAAAAACGATAAACGCGTTGTATACAGATATTGTCATGTAACCATGTTGAGAGTAAATTTATTGCACACAACATTTCAGGATTCATTATAACTCAACTAGTTAACGTTTTTTAAGGTTTGATTAGGAAAAGTTCAACATGTTTAAAAGCAATTGAATTCAGAACGATTTTTCCAAATATTTTGTCTTTTCTTGCTCAAAACTGAAAATTCAACATTTGAAACTTTCATCATTATATCACCAGCTACGGCTATATTTCAATGAATCTTGAGTTCTGTTTATAAAGACAATTTTAGATGTTCGAGTGGAAAATAAATTTTTATTATTTTTACTGGATAGTTCAAACTAGCAATTTTTAATTTCCGATTTATACTGAGATTGATTTTCTTCAGAAATCGATTAATTTTCGATTTTTCAAAAACATTTATATCAGAAAACAATATTGTCAAAAACACTTTTCCTTGACATTTTCAATACAAAAGTATCATCTGAAAGCACTCACTTGCAGAAATCGATTGATCGATAGGGTTTATATCGATCATTTAGAGTGAAAAAAATCGATCTGATCGATTTGAAAATCGAATCGTAACATTACTACGACCATACCAGACTGAAAGCACAAGATCTCCGAAATTAAGCAGTTTCAGCACGACTTAGTACTTGGGATACCCCGGTGTTGTGCACTTTTGTTTTTGATAACATTTCAACATAGCATAAATATCAAGGTCATTCAAGGTCATTTTCTGAAAATTCTCGAATCTTTTGACTTTTCTTAACAAATTATTCAATAAAATGTGCGCTATCGGAAAGTCTTTCAGATGTTGTTCGAAGGTAAAAACAAATCACCTTCAATGTACTATATACTAAGAAAGGATCCCTTTTCATAATTTATTTCATGATGATTCTGTTTTCAAATTTATTGACCGATTGAAATGTAGGTTTAAATATTTGAATGTTGGATCAATAGATACTAACTCTGGTATTTAAAAAAGGTGAAAGCATTAAATGGTCAATATTTCGAATTGAATTTCTCTTGTTTTTTCGCCGAACCATTAGCAAACAATTTTGGTTAGTCAATTGGAAGTTGAATTGCTTATTGCAACCCGAAACTTGCCGCTCAACTTAAATAATGAATGTTGAAATGATGAAGATTAAAATGAATGATGAAATAGTTGATGAAAAGATGACAAGGGAAACGTTTTAATACATTAAAAATGAAACTTACTTTTAATGTTAGCATTTGTAAATAACAACCCTTAGGGAATGAAAAATGTTATCGTGTTGAATGTTACTGGGAGTGAAGATTATATCTTATGTTATCACATTTCTTATTCTTATTGTTTTCCCTTTTTTTATCCTCAATTTTGATGCAAGAAAAGCAGAGAAAACATTAAATAAAGATTTATCTTTTTTATTTGTGTTTTTTCCTCCTTTTCCTGTGGTTATTATGGTCTTATTTTATCATCAAGTGAAAAGTTAAATTACCATCAACGGCCCAGTTCATTGAAACATTTTACTTTTACTTGAAGCTGGAAATTGTTTCTTGCTTGTTTGGGTTAGCAAAACAAATAACCTTTCATGATGCTCAACAAAGAGTGCAACAATTATTCCGAGTTTTTTTCCATGTAAATTTTTCATTTTCAACCCATTCAAGTACAAACAAGTTGATGAATGTTCATCAAATAGTTGCGCTTCAATTATTCATATTTTCACCGTGTCTCTTCATTCAGAGTCTATCATTAACATGAGCATTTCTTTACCCATTCTTCAAGTTAATTGATCTTTTCGTCATTAACCATTCTATCGTCAATTTACAAGATTAAATGCAAAACTGTAATTACACCGAAACATCAGTTTGTACTTTTTGTTCAAAACTCTAAACATCGAAAATTTTCTTCACGAAATTTTCAAAATTTTCAACATCATCATTTTCCATTACTTTTCTCATGAAGAACAAAAACTTGACGAATAAAATCGATACTTTTTCATTCGAAACTCTTCAAAGTCTTTATGAAAATCGAACTTTTCTCTATGAAATTCTTCCAAAATTCATCATTTTCCATTGCGACAGGAATAATAACCTTTCTGAACTGAAAAGAAAAATCGAAAAATTCGAATCGGAAAATTCCTCGAAAGTGAAGCGTATCAACTATCAAAGATTTCAGAGATTTTCAAGGTTTTGGAGTTTTCATCATGAATGAATTCGAAAATATTTTTTCATGATTTTTGAAGATTCATGGAAAAGCAAAAGATATTCAAATGAATGATTTTATTTGCAGATATTGTTGTCTCTAGAAGTTAACCTTGAAATGCAAATAGCAATTCATTTTGTGATATTCATAGACAGTCCAAAAATAATCGAAAGATCAATATCGATAAAATGTTCTTTTCATGCGTTCTCTTCATTTTCTTGGATTATTCAAATTTGCGCACTTTTCTCACTTCTTTTCTTGTTCCTCTGATTTTCACCTTAATTTAAGGCAAACCTCAACAGCTGCTTCAGTCATTAAGCTTTCGATTTTCACATCATTTATGTAAGTTGAGTGAAACAAGAGTAAATTGAAAAATCACTTGAAACGGATAAAAATAGAATTGATGATATTCTGTAAATTATCATGCTGAGTTTATTTGAATCAATCAACTTTACTCTTTAATCGAGTGAAATTTTTCTAAACCAGAAAATGGATTGAGTTGAAGAAAAGAAGATTTAAAGATGGAAATTTATTCAATGTTATTGATGAGATTTGGGATGACGCCGAGTCGCCAGCATTTTTGATTCATTAATAATTAATATTTTGTTCGTCAACGAGATTTGTTTGACTAACAAGAGAGGAAAGCTGATGAAAGTTGCACTTTCCATCAGTTTCACTCTTTCATCCCAACCCAACTCTAATTATCTGTCAATCATGATCACCTTTCACTTGAGCCTGTCGACCTTTTCCCGAATCCAATGAACTTCAAGAAAACCTTCAACACTGCCACATAATCATGAAAGCACATCCATCTCCAGTTTCACTGTTATCCCAATTCCAAGATTACTATTTTCACTGGATAATAATAAATGAAAACATTTTCGTAAAATAAGAAAAAAAATTTTTCTCAACATTTTGATTGACATCCAAAGCAACAAGATAAAGTTAATCCAAGTCTTGATTGATTAAAGTTAATATCGTTTCATCCTTGCTCCTTGATTCAATTTAAACTGGCCTTTAATGAAACCAGAAAACGGGAAGCAAATTTCGAAAAAAGAATAGAAAAAAAGTCGAAAAAATATTCTATTTTTGGCTTTAATCAATGAAAAAGGAAAATGAAAACTGAGTAAAGGTAAATGTTGAGGAATGACGTAAAAGGAGGTAAACAAAGGCTTTTTTATTGATAATTAATTAGTGAATAATTGAAGTTGTTAAAATGCAAATTCGAGTTTGTTTCATGTTAATGTTTTCACGTTTTCATGGAAATGATTATGATGGAAAAGTGAAAAGTGATGAAAGAAGAAATGCTTATTTTCTGAACTTGTATTAACATCTTCTGTGTCTTGAAGCATTTTGATTGATTGGAATGTTGGAATTAAGAGTTGAGAAAAGTTTCAATTTGAATAGTCTTCATCATTGATCTTTCGCCAGTTGAACCATCTTGAACTGTTCAAACTTGCAATTTTTCATTTTGAAAAATTATCTCTTTGCATAAATTATAATACAAAATGAATAACAGATTCGATGAAATCAACATTCAAATCACATTCAGTTTATTGGGATAACAGTTGATGAACAATAATCAGTCAAGGACTCGACTATTGACAGGACGAAAAAACGTGTTTCAATCGAATCGCCATTTTTCAAGATATAAGTGAAGGAAAATTTTCGAAGGAAAATCAGATTCGAATCTCGATCATCTTTTCGCAACTATCGATCGAAGTTGTAATCAATCAAAGTTAAACAACTTTTTCTGCGGTTAAACATTTACTTTACGGAAACTCGAAAAGTGATGTTTTTACATAATTGTTACAAATGACACATTTTTCAATCGAAATCAATCAAAGTTTAAATGTTGAATCTGTCAACGAAATTTTGAATATTTTCGTTGTTCCAACAAAAATTACTTGGTAATTGAAGCATCGATTATGTAAACACTTGGTTGACTCATGATAAGTCATCAACACTTTGATAAATCTCTTGATACTGATCATTGAATCAATAATCTGAAAAGAGTTTCTCTTTTGTTCAGTTTTTGCTATTGATATCTTGGATATTAATTGATTTATGTAATTTCCTCATGAAATGCTTTTTTCTTCTTTGCTTCTGATTAATTCTTGGAATGGATAAAAGGCTTGAAATAGAATCTGAATCAAGTTTAAAGTCAAATGAAAAATTCTGCTGGTGTACATGTAATCCTATTTCATGTGATTCCATTGAATAGATTGACAAAAGGATGAACATTTCTCTCTCTTTAGTGTTATAAATCATCAATAATATCACTTGTTATTATTTATTTTCTGGTTAAATCTCTTCAGAAGATGAAATAGAGAAAATTTCTGTTAACTTATTCTGTATCATTTTTTACCAATTCTTATCCTTTTCATGTAACATCTTTGAGCATGGAACTGCTTATCTGTTGAATCACTCGGAAAGGCTAATAAATAGGAAATATAAAAGCGAATCGATCAACAAAATTTTAGTTACAATTTAACTCTTTAATCAATTGTGTTGTTTGAAGACATTTTACTGTCTTATTCAAGTTCAACTATTTTCATGAGATTTCAAGTTTTTAACTTTTCTTTTCTTTCTTCTCTTTACAGAGGGTTCGGGTTTGTAACATTTGCTGATTCTTCGGCTGTTGATAAAGTTTTAACGAATGGACCTCACGAGTTGGACGGTAAAAAGGTTAGTATTTTTTGTTGTCATTCAATGTCAATTGTTTATGAAATTGGCGCCGTTTTGTTACAGAACTTTATGCTCATGGAAACTCTGCTTTTGTAAATATTTTATCAGATCGACCCTAAAATAGCGTTTCCCAAAAGAGCGCATCCCAAAATGGTGACAAGGACGAAGAAGATTTTTGTCGGTGGCCTTTCAGCACCTACGACACTCGAAGATGTTAAAAATTATTTTCTTCAATTTGGTAGGATTGAGGATGCAATGTTAATGTTTGACAAACAAACGAATCGACATCGAGGTAAGTTTAAGCTCCAAGTTTATTCAGTCCAACATGAAAACGACACACAAATAATGTTCCACTTGTGACAAAACTACGCTAATATCGAAAAGCATTTCGAGTCAAAAAGAAAACTCAATACTCGACAAAATTCTGGTTTGCTATTTAATGATTTCGAACTGATATTTTAGAAATAATCTTTTTCATCGAGTTTCAAAGTTTCGAAAATTTCCATCAAATGAGTTTTAATATCTGAGACTTCAATTATTCTAGAGTTTAGAGTTCTTATCCCTGATTCGAATGAAATCGACTTGGAAAATTAGTCGATTTTAATGAGTCAAGAATTCGTATTGTTTTCCGATCTTGTGTTTCAGGGATCGTAATTATTCTTGAATTTGATTCAAATGCATGTTAAGAGAGTTCATCGAATTGGTTCAAACAGTTGATGAGTAACTGAACTTTATTCAAATGATTCTGTGATCTTCATGAAAATGGAAGAAAATTTGAATTTCTCAAACTTTCTTCGCATTACTCTCAACCAATTCATATTTATATTAAAATAAGATTGAACAATACGATTGTAACGAAAAGAATGAAAAGTAAGTTATAGTGAACAAAATATCAACTTTAATTTCCGTTGAAACGAAACAACAATGCTATCAGAAATGAATAAGCATGAAAATACGATCAAAAAAGAGTAAAAGAAACTTCTGAAAATGAAAAAAACTGATTCTTTTTGAGAAAAAAAAGTCAAAGAAAAAATTCTCTGCTGGAAACAATATTAAAATGTCTTGTAATGAGGTTGGAAATCGCAAGTGGAAAAGAATGGCGAAAATAAATTCGTCTAATTTCTGGTAATCGCTCAACGGTTGCAAAAACACTTGAATTACCTTGAAGAAGGAAAGAAAAGGGAAAAGTTGAAATTGAAAAGCTCATAAATCTAGAGATAATCGGGTGAATTTTGTTGCAATATTATGACTACTTTTATCCTTCTTGAACATTTTATTGAACATCATTTATTACATTTTTGGTTGGTGAAAGTGAAACAGAAAATTTTGCAACATTTGAAAGTTTAAATAAAAGCAAATCAAGTATCAACCAAAAAAAGGCAATCAAATGTTCCAAAGCGTGGTTCCTCGAAGAAAAAAATATTTCCCACTCTTCATCATTTTTCCTCGGACTTTATAAGATTGTTGATGCTATTATTTTGCAAACTCCCAGCAACAATCATACAAGTTTTTATCTTTTATTTCCTTTTGTTCATTCAACCTTTTTTCTTTTACTCAGTTCTTAAGTTGAAGCCAAGAATTGAATCAGTTGAAGAGTTAAATGTTTTTCATTTTTTTTGTAAATTTTCAACTGTTGTCAAGTCGAATCTACAATTGCTTTGAATTTATCATTTTCACTCCCAGTCGAGATTCACTCCCAGTGACAAGCGTTTCAGTAATGAGGAAAGAAACAAAAAGAGAAAAGATTATGACCTTTTCAAGGTAACCAACTTGACCAAGTCTCAGAACAATAACTCGCCATTCAGCTGAATTTTCATCATTATCTTTGAACCCATTCTCTTAACCTTTATCTTCATTTTTCTTCTTCTTCTTCTTCTGATTCTCTTTGAATTTCACACATTCCTTTATTTCCTTTTTTCACTCTCTTTTCTCTCAATCCTCATGAATCTCCTGTCAAACCTAATCAAGTGAAAACAAAATTTTCTCATCAATTGAATACCTTTTTCTTGATTCCATTTTTATTTTCATCATGAGACTCGAATCCAAGGTCAAGAATGAAATGAGAAAAGAAATGAAAAATGAAATGATTCATGAGCGATTAAAATGGCTCACAATTATCAAGCTTCAAAAACTCATGATATTAATAGCATTCATCTTTTCCAGGTGAGTTTACTTTTCAGCATTTTTTTCTTCTTCTCTTTTGCTTTTCTCTTTGAAAGTCGAAAAAATCAGAGGCAAAAAAGTTGGTTTCATCCATGAAAGATAATGATGAAAGAGCGAGAAATGTTCAAATTTTTGACTGATGATTATGTATTATTTAGATTTGGAAATGTTGAACCATTAACACTGGAATAAATGTTTGTTATGAGATTTTCATTTTTCATTACATTTGTTGAGCCAGAATAGAGAGAAAATTGTTAATCTAACAGACAGAATCAGGGAAAACAGGAAAAGGAGAAAAAATATAATAACAAATTGGTTACATTGAAAAAAAAAGATTAATATCTTTGTGAGTTCAAAGTGAATGTTAAACAGTTTATAGTAGTAAATGTTTCTTATAAAATTCAACCTTTCAACTGGAACTCTTTTTTCTTCACCAGTTCAACTTGATTCTTTTTATCAGAATCCCTTGCTAATGTGAATATTTTTGCAATAATTTTACAATCTAATGAGATAGCAAAGAATAGTTTTTTTTCTTTACATGGGAATCACGATTCAAGTTCTGTAAATGAAAGCCTCTTTCTCTGACAATCAGTTTCAACATTTTCAAGATGCCATCATTTCTAGGAATAAATTCAATAAAAAAAGGATTTATCAGTTTCAATTGTTTAGTTATCATACAATTCATTTTTCAATTGGCTATTTGTCACATTTCAACACCTTTCAATTTTTTCAAATCAAAACTTGAAAGCGACAAGTTTTACAATTGTAATGTACAAATAAGCTGATGATGCAGTTGGAAACCTTCAATTAGTCAAACTCCAACAAAAATCAGAAACAAACTTAAGTCGTAGTGATGCTCCAATTCGATTTAAGATCGATTTAATCGATTTTCTCACTCAAAAATGATCGATCTCAACCCCGAAAGATCGATTTTCTTATATTCTCTTATACTTTTTTTGTGTTGAAAATGTCGAGGAAAAGTGTTATTTGACAATTTTTCTGAGAAATCCAAAATCAATCAATTTCTAAGAAAAATCGATCGGAAAATCGATCTCAGAAGGGATCGGAAACATTGCCTTTTAAGTTATCTATCTTATTACTGTTGCTTGTTTCTTCAATACTATAGCATCGACGATATCGATACATCGATACATCCACTGACACGAAGCCCCTTGGGCCGAGTATCGATTTATACCGTCGTTACATTAACATTTCAGAAACACTGCATCTATCTATTTGTTTTAATCAAAGAATGATGAAAGTCATTGAGGTTAGCCGATCAAGTAACTCAAACGTTGACAAAACCTTGCAAAGTACCAAATGCTGAGCCAAAATCAACTCCAATTGTCAACCAGATAGATTCAGATAAACGTTTCTTGTCCAATAACTAGCGACAATAATAGTGCATAATAATGCAAAAATGAACCTCAAGTTATCGAGTTTATTTTTCATCTAATTGTGAAGAGCAGCCATTCCAAATTTTGATTGTTGAAGTTACAAAACTTGAAAACAATTCCATGTTAAAATTGTGCAAATTTTTTACGATAAGTTTTACTGTTTCAAATTGACTCTCTATTCATGGAAGCGCATCTAATTGTTAATTAAACAGTTTTCATTCTGACTCCTGAACTTGATAAGCCCTGGAAAAAGGTAAACAAGCAAAATGGTGAAGAAAAGTTTAACCTTTTTTCCTTTCACTTTATCCATGAGCAAAAGCCAACATGAAATTTATCAACAATTACAGACTTTTTTGATTTCCATGAAAGACTCATGCATTTTGGTTTCCATTATTGTAAACTTTTGTTGAGACGAAACTTTTTTGACACTTTTTCATATTTGATTTGTTATTGTGTTAGCATTTGGTAAAATTAATATATATTTGATAACATTCGAGTTTCATTTTCTGGGTTCGCTCTCATGAAACGTCAGCGTTTTTTATCCCATTTTCTTGCAAACTGGAAGAAACTTTGATAGGAAATTGATGTTGATATTTTTGGTTAAACTTTCTTTTTCCTTTCCTTCCATTCCTTGTTTCACCTTTGATCATAATCTTTCATGATTCATATTTATGAACATAAAGATTGTAATCAAGATTTCATCTTTTTTGCATTACTTTCCTTTCTCAAATCAAAATTGGTTTGCCTTTTCAGTTGTTCAGAAAAAGATACAAAATTCCTTTGCACTTCAACTTTTCATTCTTGAACCATGAAAATATCAAGTGGAAACTGAATGCAACATTTTCAAATGCAAAATTTTCTCTTCACTCAATACTCGAGCTTATTGTTGATGGGTTTTTGTTTTCACCATATTCTTTGTGTTCAATTTTTGCTCTCTTTTCCAGACTAATATCACTTTTCCAGTTCTTTGCTTCAACCAGATTCAGTTTCATGTTTTTTTATTATCATAATCTGGTAATTATCACATCTATGAAAAACGATAAAAGGTTGGAAAATCAGAGAATCTCTGAGTTTGCAGTTTTTTTCTTCTCGCCTGATTCGTAAATTTTTACTCACCACAAGCAGAAAATTTTAAAGTCAAAAGTTGGCGTAATTTCATGGTGAACAGAATAATAATGAACAATAATCAGTTTGATGAGAAGAGAAAGGATAATAATGATTATAATGAAAGTGAAACTTGATTTTTCTTCTTCTTCTCCTCTTCAAGTGCTTTTAACACCTCAAAAGGTTGAGTATTTTATTCACTTTTCATCTTCTTCTTGCCACTTCTTCATCTTCATCCATCTTACGTAAACAAGGGAAAGTTAAAAGAGCAAAACGTTGAGCCAGGGAAAAAAATGTTTCATGAAATTTATACTTGATTGAAGCGAAAAGATGGTGAAAAGAAGAAGATGAAGAAGAAAAGGTAAGCAGAAAAGTCTTAAGAAATTAAGAGGAAAATGATGATCATGGAAAGAGGTGAACTCGGTAATGGTTGAGAATAGTAAATAGTATTGAGTCTGAATTTTGTGATGAACAGGGAAGGATGATACTGATGAGCCTGATGAGCCTGATCATGGTGAGAATCATTCTTCTTCTTTTTACATCTTTTCTCTTCTTCTTGCCTGGTTGTTCAATTTTCCGGCAGATCAAGTTTCATGAGTAACACAAAACATGAGGAAGTTGATGCTAA